CTGCTGGTCCATCCGCTAGCGGCCACGGCCCACAGCCTTCCCCCACCTCTGCCCCTGCAGCGACCTCGACTTACGCTGCTGCAGTGCACTCGCCTTGATCTCTCTCCCTCCGCCATCAGCACAGTGGACATCCTCCTGTGCGCACCACGGACATTCCCGAGTATGATGGCACAACCCGTGTCTCTCGCTGGTTGCAGATAGCAACGCGCACGCTCTCTATGACGACCACCCGTCAGGAGTTGTGGTGCGATGAACTCGCAACCAAATTGCGAGGTAGCCCTTCCACTGCGTGGGAGGATCATTATACCCAGCGCCTCCGCATGGGTGAGGTCCCCACTCTGGTCGACTTCGCGGCCTTCCTTCAGGACCGTTTCGGCGCTCGTCATGACGCCACCGACGCCTTAGACCGCGTCACCCAGACCAGATGGTCGGGGTCCTCTGTACTGGCCGACCTGGAACGTCACATCCGGGTGTTTCAGGACGCTCGCCTTGTTTGTGACGAGACGTTCCTACCGAAGGTCACACTCACCGACCGGTTCCTTGTCAGCCTGCCGACTGACTATCACCTAGAGCTATGGAGGCATTCATTCTCTTCTGCGGAGCAGGCATACGAGGCTGCGCGTCAGTACCAGAGGATGTGCAGTCACTTCTCCGTCGCCCCATCCTCTTCGCGGCCAGCCGCCACCTCTCAGTCTCGGGGTACCACCCGAGGCCGCTCCTCGTTTGCTGGTCGTTTTCGTCGCCCGACCCGCCCTGGAGCGTCATTCTCTCAGCGCTACAGTTCTCTGGAGTACRGCGAGGACGCCTTGGCCGAGTTTGACCCTACCCTTGGGGACGCCCCCGAGGACATCGAGCTACGAGACGTCATCCAGTATCACTTGGATGACGACACTGTTCCCGTGGCCAAGCGCTTGCTGATGGCCATGTCTGCCATGGGTTGTGCTCGTAGTCGGGTTGCACAGGCTGGCGCCCGCACACCCACGGTTCCTCAGATAGACCTTCCGCAGGGTTATGTCCCTCCTCGCGGAGCTCTATCCCCTAAGGAGCGTGCCGCCCTCGAGGCCCGGCGCGGCTGCCTTCGTTGTCGCCTAGATGGACACACCTCCTCACGGTGTCCATACCATACCGCCCTCGATCGGCACTACGCTGACATCTCTCGTCAGCGTCGATCTCAGTCCCCCCCCGGCCCCGCCCGGCCAGCCCCATCCACCTAGCCACGGTGCACTGTGCCCCTGAGGCCTCGCACGTAGCCGACTTCCCGACCACCGAGTCGCGGTTTGCCCCTTTGGCTACCCCACCAGAGGACCCTCAAGACACGACAGACGCAGTTCTCTCCACCCCATCGTCTGTCGAGGTACCTTCTGCCTCCCAGCAGACTGCCGCATCTAGCGCTTCTCCCCCGAGACTTCCGACGCGTCGCGCCATTCGCCTAGCCCGTTGTAGCGCTCAGCTGGCGACTCGCGATGACGTTGTGTCATCTCTCCTGGACTTGAGCATGCTGCAGGCTCGTCAGGAGCGCCTCACGAGACACATCAACGTCCTGCGTCGTCTTCTCGCCCTGCTCTCTGACCCTGATCGCACCCTACCCATCATCCCTATTCGCCTAAGGACATCTACGAGGGTGTACCGCGCTTTATGGGACTCTGGCTCGCAGGGAGATTTCGTTCRCCCTCGAGTGGTTGAGGAAGCTCGCCTAGCTACCTCTGGGTCTCGCTCTCCTATCTCCGTTACCCTCGGAGATAACAAGACGCAGCGCTTCTTCGATCAGACGGTCCCTGACCTCCACTTCTCCCTCACCCTCCAGCCACCGGATAGTACCCAGGCGCCTCGGCGCTACCATTCCTCCGCCTACTTCGACGTGCTGGAGACTAGGTACGACTTTATCCTTGGCACTCCCTGGTCTCGCCGGTTCCGTAGCACAGAGGCCGAATGGGCGTTTGAGACAATCATTCTCAAAACGAAGTGTGGTCAAACCCATCGAGTCCCCTTCATTGGAACCACGAGCGACACCCCTCCAAACCTACCTCCCCAGGACCCTCGTCCTTCTGGGTCCCACCCAGACATCTCCTTCACTTCTCCCCGTCAGTTTGCTCACTTCATGCGACAGGAGGACGTCACGCTCTACTCAGTGAACGTCATGGATCTTCTTCGCTACGATTCACTCTGTCCCGAGGTTGAGCTCATCTCACTGGAGCCCGATCCCCCTGACCCTTCCTCCATCCTCGCGGCTCCCATCTCTACATCCACCCCGCAGCTTGCGGATACCCCCTCGACATCCCTGGTTCCTACGTCGTCCACTGCTGAGTCCACCCATACGTCTCATGCCGACGCAGACGTTGAGGAACTCATGCAGTTCACGGCTGACTTAGAGCTGGTCATTCGCGACCTGATTCGGGAGTACCGCGACGTCTTCCCCCCGTATTTCTCATACAGCGGGATTCCCCCGATGCGCGGTGTCGAGCATTCCATCCAGCTCGTGCCTGACTATCGTGTTCACCATCAGGCACCATACCGACTCTCGATTCCAGAGGCGACGGAACTCAAGCGTCAGCTTGAGGAGCTCCTTCGACTTGGTTTCATTAAACCTAGTAACTCCCCTTGGGGTGCACCTGTCCTCTTTGCTCGCAAAGCNCCTAGTAACTCCCCTTGGGGTGCACCTGTCCTCTTTGCTCGCAAAGCGGACGGAACTCTCCGCCTCTGCATCGATTATCGCGGCCTTAACCATTACACGGTTAAGAACAGCTATCCCATGCCCCGCGCGGATGAGCTGTTTGACCGTCTGGCAGGCAACCGCTTCTTCACGAAGATCGATCTTCGTAGCGGTTACCACCAGATCCGCGTTGCCGCAGAGGACCAGTCGAAGACCGCCTTTCGGTCGCGCTTCGGCTACTACGAGTTCACGGTGATGCCATTCGGCCTCACCAATGCACCCGCCACCTTCCAGACGGCGATGAACGACATCTTCAGGGACATCCTTGAAGAATACGTCCTCGTATACCTAGACGACATCCTGGTCTACATTCGTACCTTAGAAGACCATATCAGACACCTCCACGATGTCCTACAGCGCTTACGCAAGCATGGCTTCTATGCCAAGCTCAGTAAGTGCCGCTTTGCCCAGCGCAAAGTGGACTTCCTAGGACACCATGTGTCTGAACAGGGTCTCCACATGGACGACGCGAAGATCACTGCTATTGCAGAGTGGCCCGTCCCCACATCTGCCAAGCAGCTTCGTTGCTTTCTAGGCCTCACCAGCTACTATAGTAATTTTATCCAGGGATACGCTAGGTATTCCTACATCCTTACCTCCACCCTCCTCTGGAAGAACCCGCTATGGTTTTGGACACCCCTCTGCGAGGACGCCTTCCGCGCCCTCAAGAAGGCGGTGACTTGCGCGCCGGTTCTTCGCCTTCCCGATTTTGATCGTCCCTTTATCGTCACCACCGATGCGTCAGATTTTGCAGTAGGAGTTRTCCTTTCTCAGGTGTTTCCCTCTCCTCCAGATTCACCTTACCCCCATGTTCCTCCTTTTCCCCCCCCTCCTGCTGACACTGCTTCTCGACTGACGCCTATCCTACCACCACTTCCCTCCACTGACAGTCCTCTCATTTCTTACTCCCCGACCATCGTGGAGGATGGGACTGTCGAGGCTCGTGCTAGGGATTGCCGGATCGCTTTCTACTCCCGTCAGCTACTACCTGCCAAGATAAACTACACTGTCGATGAACGTGAGGTTCTCGCAGTAGTTTATGCTACCCGACATTGGCGTCATTATCTGCACGGGGCGCCCTTCACGGTGCGCACGGACAACTCAGTTGTCCAGACTTTCCTCACGAAGCCTAAGCTTTCCCCTCGACAGGCACGCTGGTGGCGTGACTTATCCGAGTTCAGTTTCACCACTTAGCCCATCAAGGGTGAAACGAATTGCATCGCCGATGCCTTGTCTCGCCGTCCTGATCACAATCAGGAACCTATCCATCTTGCTGCCATCTCCATCACCAATGTTGATCTGTCGGTGATCGACGCGTATCGCACTCAGTACCGCCACTGCCCCGATTATCGCGTCATCCACGTGACACTGCGGAGTAGCAAGACCGTTCCTTCCTACTCCCTCGGGGAGAACGGCCTCGTATACTGGCATGGCAGATCTGGTTAGCTAGAACCACGTATCTGCGTTCCCTTCACCGGACAGCTCCGCGTTCAGGCTGTAGCAGAGTTCCATGACCAGGCAGCTGCCGGTCATATGGGTTTCCACAAGACGTTGGCTCGTGTTTGCCGCCTATACGTYTGGCCGAAGTCCAAGGACTTTGTCAAAGCCTACATCYAGGAGTGTCCTRCCTGCCAGGAGGTGAACAGTGCGAACCACCTTCCGTATGGGTTACTTCAGCCCCTACCCATACCTGAAGGTCGTTGGCAGTCTATCTCGATGGATTTCATTGGTCCCCTCCGCCCACCCACTCAG